GCTAAACACTTTAGTTGAACCGAATACTTATTGTGAGACTGCACGTTTTCTCGCTACTCAAAAGTTATGACCGAACGGTCTTTACTAGACAGAACCCAAAGAATTGACTGAATACTATAGAATACTTTATAATTAAGCATGACCGAACACTAAAATCTTTTAACTAAAACCTAAGAGCTTAGACCGAACTCTACGAGCTTAGGCCGAACACTATTGAAGTATGTCGAACACTCTTAGTTTCAAATACAAGCACATAATTGGGTAATGTGACGAGACCGAGTGTTAGTACAAGACTGAGCACTACTGAGACCGAGCGCTAGTATAAGACTGAGCACTACTGAACTTATACAAAATGAATAAAATAGATTCTACCGTACAACTAAGAAACACTTATTTACAACTGAGGATAAATATAGTATCTAACACTTAAGTTATGTTGGGTACCTTAACTAGGTTGATTACTAAGTAGAAATTGGAAACTATCCTTAGACCGAACGCTTATTTACAAGTATACTAATAGAAAATCGATTGGTCATTAACTGAAACTCTCTACAGAAGAAGAATCCAGTCCAGACCGAATGCCCAATGGAAAACCGAACGGTCACGAATGACTCTCGGCGATAATTACAGAATTACACAAAATGTTGCAGATTCAAGATCAAACCTTATTCCTACCCAGTTCACATCATTTATAAAGCATCAAAAAAATACAACAACTCAATATTCAATATCAACCAAATAACCAAACATAACATCATTCAAACATGCAACCATTCAAAATCAGAGAATCATAATTAAATTACAAGTTTCCCTTACCTCGAACCCAAAAGACTTCTATGCTTCTACAATATTGCCTATACCACCAGTAACCTTTATAGCCTCCTACAACTTCTGATCGGTGAAGATGAACCAATCGTAAAACCAAAGATAGAAGATAGATTCAGAGGGGGAGTTTGATGAATACATGTAAGATAAATAGTGCTTGCATGTAACAGAAAATACATAAATCCTAAAAGAACGAAGGGGTTTAACTTACCAACTCCAAACAACAACTTGATCGGTTTAAAAGAGAGAGCTTGACACCAAGAATATTTAGATGTTGCCTGGATGATGATCGGAGAAAAGAAAAGGTAAGAATTTGTAGAGAGAAGAAGAAGATTATAGAGAGAAAGAGGAGAAAATGAAGAACTCAGAAGTGTTTTGGAGGAGAAGGTGCATGTAGAAAAAGTGGCACGAAAATCTGAAAATTTGATTTATATACCACCGTCAAAAACTGATCGGTCATTCTGCTACCCACACCTGTCTTCCACTTTCTGAATTTTAAAACCCTTGCACCTACACCTGGCTTCCACTAACACAGAAATTTAAGGGTACTGACAGCATACGTGACAAATAATGTTTCAATTCAACATTAGATATGTGGACACGTATCTAACACATGTTCTTTCCTTTCTTTTCTTTTTTTTTTTAAAAAAACCTTTACACAAAACAAGGCATATAGTGTTAGGAGATTTGACACAAAACGACATTATGAAATTGAAGGGAAATGATGAACATTGTGAATCAATTTTATTGATGAACACCATCTTTGGAATCCTTTGACAAAGAGTTTTAAGGAATGTGTGGTGAAATCCAAGGATTCTATTGAAATGCGATTTGTTTGTTAAATGAAAAGATTGAGGTCTAGGGTGGACATCACGAATATAGGTGGAAAGGAATTTTGGAGATTAGGGATTTATGTTGTTGTACCTTCCGAAATATAAAAAAGAGTTGTGGATCCAAGTGTTCGACGTCTTCATCCTCATCTTCGCAATTGGGATGTTCACAATTAGGGCCAAAAATTTATGGAAATGGGAAAAGACTATTTTTTTTGAAAGCCTTTAAATTGTCATCCTACAATAGACTAAGAAACCATCTCAACTCTTTGTAAATTCATTTTCCATCACAACAAACACAAGAGGAAAATATTGGTTATTTGGTGTCTTGTAACCACCACTAACAATTGGCCTCCATAACTGTTTTTGATGTGACATCCATCAACACATATGAAAAGTCTACAACCATTTTTAGACCTTGCTTTCACCATCGAGACATATATAAGACGCCTCAAAACTTGGCTATATTGTGGGTTGTGGTTGATTAACTTTAATCTTGCATGTTGTTCCAGCACACTCTTCTCTACTCTGCTAGATAGTCTTAATGCAATGTATATTGTCTCTCCTATACCCTTTAGAATGTTGATGGCCATTTGTTTTACTTTCAACACCCTCTTTTTTGTGATTCCAACCCTATATGACTTATTTATGTCATCAATTATCTTATTTGCAGTCATGTTTCCAACATTTCTAAAGTTTTCCACTACAACTTTTGAGACCCAATCCTTGTTTACATTTTGATTCCTAAAAACCCTACCACAATTATGTGTATCAACTAAGGTTTTCATGCCAAAATTTACGACTTCCTTCAACTTTACTACATAAAATAAAAAATCCACAGTTCCTCTTACAAACAACCCTGACTCTAATGTCATCATTCTTAATTAACATAATCTCTATGTCATTTATTATTGAATACTCCTTAAGAGTTTTTTTAAACTCCTTCAACGAACAAAACTCCATCCCCAATTTGAATTTGAAGTTTATTCTCATATCTTCATATTTAAACATTGGATACATGTTCACACCCTCCCCTTCATAGTCCACATCACTGTCTAATTCATCAGCATTGTATATGACATCGATTTCATGATTGTCACCATTTTGTTGTGTGTTAAAAGATCAACATATGCACTGGCTGAAGCCTTCATTTTTCTCCCTCTTTTACCTATCTTTTTCCACCTTTCAAGCACATTTCTTTTGTCCTTGCATGATTTACCATCCTTTCCAAAAGCATCAATATCTTCTCTATGTCATTTTTATTCATTTTCATCCAACCCTTCCTCTTCAAATTCAACATCACTATCCACATCCACACCAGAAACCCCCTTCTCAGCATCCCCTATAAATATATTTTTTTCTATAAAAAATGATAATTAGCATAAAAAAATTAAAATAATAAATAACATAAAATAAATTATTTATGTTTATCCAATAGTTAAATATTTAAATTAAAAAAATAAGAATTCTTTCATAAGAAAATAATATTAAGAAAAAATAATCAAAATTTAAGTCAGTCATATGTTAAAACAATAAGTTATTTTTAGCTTAGATTCCCTCTGATTTTAACATTTAACACATTTCAAGTAGAAGATGACACAAACTTGACATGTCACTAACCTAAAATTTGATATGTGACTCTTCCCAATGGTATTAGTGCCAATTTAACCTAATGTCCATATTGAGTTTTTTTTTTATACAAAAATAGGAATTGAAATGAGTTTTTTTCTTTAAAAAAACAAAGACTAAAATATAGGACCAAAACGAATGAAAGATGTAAATATAGGAATCAAATTACTAATTAAACATTTTTTTTCTTTCTTCACATTTCATTATTAATAAGTACAAACAAATATTAAAAATTTATCGCTTTGTCTACTTAGTCAACACACATGATGAAACGAAATATTAAAGTCAGGGTGTGAAATTAAGTTAATCTAGTTTACACAATTTAGTTCACCATGAGTTGAACTAAAAATGAGTTAGTTCAATTTGGTTCACTTTTTAGCCAACAATTCTAACCACCATGGGTTAGTGAGTTAGTAAGTTGACTCACTTCAGGGTATTTTATTCTTTTAATTTATACATTGATTGTATTACAATCAAAGTGGTTTTATTAGACTCATTTTTTATAATAGTATAATCAAAGTGTTATCTATTTCAGCAAACATTATATATAAAGATAATAATTAAAAATTAAAGTGTCAACTTAGATAAAGAAATAAATTCAACTTGGAATTCAAACATTATTAATCAACATTCTAGTATTTAAAAATATCAATTTATCAACTAACATGATTAAAAGTAGTAAATAATAATGATTAACCAAGTTACAAAAAAGTGGAAAGAAACTAATTAATTATTGTTCTTAAAGGGTTAAAGTCATCTTCAATTGGGCTCAAACTCTTTTAACTTATAGATTAAGTGAGTTAAGGTCAATTTAACTCACATTTGAAATCTTTTTTTATCTCAATTCATAATAAGTCAAATTGGTTCACGGATTGAAACTCAATATTTCTAAAAAGAAAAATGAGAATAAAAGTTTAATTTTAATCCCCTCAAGAGGAGAAAGTAATTAATTATTTATAATTTTGTCTCATAAATCAATATTAATATTGATGGATTATGTTAAAATCCTTCAATAACTATATGCGTCCAATTTATAATATATAAGTGATTAAAACTTTAACTTATAATTTAATTCAGTTTTACACTAAAATATTTTTATGTTTTATGTGTCACGTATTTTTATCATATTTAATTTTCATCTTAACTTTTTTATATTTTTTATTTAAATTTAATAGTAAATATAATTAATTACTTTAAACAACCCATTAAATAAAAAAAGTAGTTTTATAATTTATTTAATTTAATCTTTTTAAATAATTAAATCTACTACCAACTTTTCACTTTTTCTATTAAATTTTTTCTTTCATTTTCTGAATTTAAACAATTTTATTCTTGAGGTACGTGTTTTCTTCGTTTCTTTAGTTTCTCATTCTCACACTCCAGTCCAAACAAACCAACTACATGTGAACGTATTATGTCTTTAACACTTGAAGTTAAAGAATGATAATGTTGATAAAATATTTCTGTTGATATTTAATTTGACTCTTTCACATTTTCCCCCTTATTTATTTCAAGATTTATTTTAGTTATACAATTTTAGAATTTAATATAAAGAAAAAAATGCCTACAATGGCACCTACTTGCAATTTTAACTCAGCCTGGGAGCAATTTGGAAGTCGTCTTCAACATCTTCACAAACTAAACAGATATTTCCACCATTTTGCTTATAAATAGAAGGTAATCTTGAACTGTTTGTTGTGTCTCAGTAGACATTGAACTCTTTCAAGAAGAACATCTTACTCATCTTTGAGAGAACAAAAGAGTTATATATCTACTACTACACTTGACCATGAATAATCGACTTGAAAGCCAAATGATGCTCTTCTCTCACCAATATCCTGGTGCATTCACTGAAGTAACTCCTCCTCAACAAGGTCTCTATTCATATTACAACGCTCAACATTTTTCTACTATATATTGATTCTGTATCTTCAATATGATATATTCGACACTCTTTTAATTTAAATTAATCTTTACACGTCTTTGCACAGGCAAAGAAGCCAAGCCAAGACGCAAGAGAAATAAAAATGGTGCTGCGGCCACCCCCAAGAAGAGAAAGCTCACTGCCGACCAAGTTAGTCTTCTCGAGAAAAATTTCTGCAGTGAACAGAAACTTGAATCTGAAAGGAAGGACCAACTCGCATTTGAGCTTGGTATGGACCCTCGACAAGTTGCGGTATGGTTTCAAAATCGACGTTTTCGTTGGAAGACCAAAAAGTTGGAGGAAGAGTACTCCAATCTTAAAAATGTTCACGAAACCACCATGCTTCAGAAGTGCCACCTTGAGACTCGGGTACTTACACCTAATTCATTTCTTTTCTACATAGCTTTTCATTACTATAGATCATTGCTCTACACTATTCTTGTACTTGAAGCAATTTGTTGAAAACAATCAAATGAGCTTTAGTAAGACCCCCTTTTGCATCTTATTGCCTTGGTAGCAGAAAACGGTCTCATCTGTGTTACCTTCTTTCTCACAACAATAACTTCAATTTTTGGGCAAGTTTAGGAATGTTTCTGCTATATTTATACTTATATCTACATATCATTGTCTTTTGTTACTTTAGTTCTTAAAGTCTGCTTTATGTATTTTATTTTAAATAGTTCCCCCGCCCCACTACTAGTTTAATCACGTACTTACAACCAGTACTTTGATTTAAATCTCAAGAACAAAATTTTCGAAGTTGTTGGCCACTTCATAAGTTAAAGAGTTCAAATATTTGGATAGAAAACATACTTATAACTAGTAGTATATATAATCATCTTCGTTTATCACATATTTTTAAGTAAAGACATTTTAAAATTACCCAGAAAATAAAATAAAAATCTTCTCTAAAACTATTTAGAACAACATTATTATAAGGAAATTTAGTGGAGAGTTTTTTTAGAACAAGACATTGACAAATGATTTGACATGAAACACCAAAAGGCATCCTTGGTGTACAATAAAAGCCACTGTCTTTCGGCCGTGGATGAAGTACGTACAATGTTTTGTGCACTGGCATTGGGCAATGGTTAATGCGCACTTATCAGAACCCACGTGACGTGTTCAAATACATTGCATCTTGCTGGAAAAAGCAAAAACTAACAAGACGATAGATCCTTTATTTCTAAGGTTCATATTACGACATCACAGTTCACAAAAAAAAAATAGAAATATAATGGCATTGTTCAAATATAGGTATTAAAGCTGGAGGAGCAGCTTTTGGAAGCAAAGAAGGAGATTCAGCAGTTACAAGAGCGTGATGAAAGAGCCGCAAGCAAAGATTTGCTGGAAGCTGTCAACCCACCATTTCCTGAAGAGTTTAGGGTGGAAGAATATGATTATGGTGATGTTTTCTACATTCCGGAGACTCATTACATCAATGGAATGGAGTGGATTAATCTCTACATGTGAACCTCAACAACCTTAATTAGCATTTTGTCAATAGTTTGAATAATCATTTTGTATAAATATTTCAGTTATCTAATGTAAATTGTTTCATCTGCTAGCTTGCAAGATATTGTGTACATGTCTGCCTATGATTTGGAAAGAGCATATCATTATATAAATTTTGACTTCACTTAACTAGTTGCATCTTTAGTTGTTGCATGATGACTACAAAACATTTAAACCTTTTCTTTTTTCTTTTTTTAATATACAGTGTATCAATACTATTTGAACTTAAATCATAGTCTTATTCTAGAAAATTGAAGGATTAAGAGTAGGATATAACTTACTGGCAGTCTTATTGCTTAAAGGTTAAAAGATTATACGGATATGATGAGATTTGTTTTATATGAATAATAATATAGCAAAAAGCATGAAGTACTATCAGGGTATAGAGCTGATCGAAAAGGGGGGAGAATGACTAATCTAGAAAGTTTTATTCCTATCAAGACCAATGAAGAAATATAAGAACTCAGACCGAATCACATTCAAATTTGACGAAATATTCCTCCCTAGACCAATGAAAAGCTTCCCTAATAATCAAGAATGAAAAAATATACTCATATAATAATTTAGGAACAAATCCAGAGAGATTAAGACCATAATTTAAGTAATTACGATTAAGAACAACCAAAATAAGATAATAGTTAATAACATTCACAAAATAATACATAATAAAAACAGGAGTAATTACTCTTAATTCAAGGGATGTAATTTTGAACGCAATGAGAATCATCAATTATAAATAGTTTAAAAATCAAGAAAAGAAAAGAAACAAAAAGAAAAAAAACTAGTCTTGTAGCGAAAAGGGTCCTCATATCGTTTGGTTAGAACAATTTGTGTGGACTGTGAGGCAGGTAAATAAATCACGCGTCACTTTATCTAATGATGAGGGGAACACAATGTGCGCTCTTGCAAAACAAAAATATATGCAAACAAAATGAGGAAATTGCATTCAAAGAAACCAAAATGCACGAGCATATCTTTAATCAAAACTTGTTAGTACCAAATGCTCAGGAAATCGCTTATCTATCAAAATAGAAAGCGTAGATGGCATGAATTAATGTGACCCCCATTGAATGTTGTCCTAGCCATACAACACAATATATAAGTTTTTGGTTGATGCGTACAAACGTCATTAGCTGATAATATAGTTGCAGTCTCACGAAATATTATGCTAATATATGCTATTGCATAACCACTTATTTGTATAGGGTTTTCAACACCTTTGTTGAGGCGTGTTAAGAAGAATAATGTTTCAAACATAGATGTGGTTCGTAAGAGGATATGCATAAGTCACATCAAGCAAGGCGGTGACTATAATAAGGTGCTATAAGCCGGAAGACCTTGAGTCAGCATTGGCTGAATAGTTGTATTTCATAGTTAGTCCTTGGCCTTTTCACAAATAATGGGAATGGACGTTTTGGGACCATTCCCCTAATCATGAGGCCAACTACGATTTTTAGTTGTAATTTCTTTTTATTTCACTAAATAGATCGAGGTTGAATAACTAGTAAAACTATTATGTGACATTCACAAGCAAGCAACTGCAATAATACATGCGCAGAACTAAACAATGCGTCTTTTCATTGGTAAAGAACCCACATATAAATCAACAAACAAAAGTTAAAAAGAAAAAAATTATTTTGTGATAAAGAATAATTTAGAGTATATAAGTGGATATAAATAAGTTGATTTTGTAGGATTAGATTAGGTTTAAAGTTTATTTATTAACATAATATCAGAGTCATGAGTTAGAGTCTATTTTAGTGAGATTTCTTGTTTGTTTGACCTATTATGTTATCCGCTGTAAGGATATTTGTTATTTATTGGACATATTGTTTCACCCACTATTAAAATCATATCCTAGTGAAATTTCTTGTTTGTTCAGCTTATTATGTCATTCACTATTGTGATATTTATTGTTTGTTAAACATATGGTTTGTTAAGCATATTGTTTCATCCGCTATCAGATCACCCATTAATGTTTAGTTTTATGTTTGAGATATATATTTCTCGGCGTAAGAAAAATGTGTTGGAAGTTTCACATTGATTAGATATAAAACTAATTTAGAATATATAAGTGGATGCAAACTTCACCTTACAAATTAGTTTTGTGAAGTTGAATTAAACTTAAAATTCACTTCATAATACTAAGAAAAAGAATATTGGGTCAAGGAATTGTCTCACGCATTGTGGTCCTATCACACCAAACTACACTTAACAACCCTAAAATTTTCATATCAAAGGTTGGAGGAGTTCTTGACAAAAACATTAAAAGAAGGAAAAAGTGTGAATTTGGACATGATGTTCGAAGTATGAAAATCTCAATTGAAAGATATGGGTGACAAAGAGGATAGTAGAACTTAAATACTTCACAAAGGTTATCCAATGAAACTTTTATATTGTGTTTGTTTCAGATGAAGTTTTGTTCATACAGACGGATTAGCAAGTGTTGAGCATGATTACTTTTAAAGAAGTGCAACAAAATGGGAGTGCTGATTTGCAATTAACTCTTCTTCCATTACATTCTAAAAATGAAAAGATTGCAAGAAAAAGTCATGTCATACAACGATATAACTAAATTTACTTATATAACCTTAAGCAAAGTATATTGATAGAAGTGTGACTCTTTTAATTAAGGACATTGGCTCATCCATTAAGTCTCTCTCTTTCATGGAGTGACTTAACGCTTTTATAAGAGAAATGAAGTTTTCTTTTGTAGAATCATAAATGTTAGTTTATCTAAGGAAATCGAGTTTGACCTAATTCAGAGTAAGAAGTGTAGACATTCATGCATAAAGAAAGAGGACAAAACTGAGGACGAAACTGAAGATATGAAACAAAAATCATGAATGGAAAAGAAAATGGAGAACTAGGAAAAAGAAAAAAAATGAAGATGAAAGGTAGCATACTTGGAGATAAAAAAATATGACATTCATTCTCTTAAGAGGACATGATGCAACCTCTACTAACATTCTTATCACTTAAAGATTGAAGGATTGTGTATCAATGATGAAAAATATTTTATACATAATATAATGCAAAAGAGAAAGGTTATTGAAGTATTTATTAGAAAAAGTGAAAGAATGATTAATATAAAAAGTTAAATTCCTACCATACTAATAAAAAAAATTAATATTTAATACTGAATCAAATCCAAACTTAAATATCCTTTTGCAAAGCCATACAAAACTCCCGCATAACGAAACAAAACTAAATACATTGATATAATAATTTAAAAATATATGGATAGATTATAAAATCTTTTTCAAGTAGTTAGCGTTAAGAACCACCAAATAAAATTAAGAGGTCATAAAATTTAAAAATATACTTAAAAATAAGCAGCCATAAACTCTTAAGATATAACTACAAATTCAAAAAAAATATCCATGGTGAATAGAACCTTCAAAATTAAGAAAAGACAAAAAAAAATATGTTAAATTAAAGGATCGAATATTTATCAGCGAGAACATCAAACATAACATTTTTTTATTATATGAAATAATTAGTAAAAGTAATACATTTAACTACCGAAACAACTATATATGTTCTGTGTTTTGTTTTTCAATAATGTTTTGTGAAAATTAAACATTTAGTGAAAATTAGGGATTGTTATAAAAAATACTATAGGGATTTGTTTTTCAATAATGTTTTATGTTTTGTCACACCTAGTAATCCTAGTATGATGGGACCCCTCCTTTTAGGGGAAAAGAGAAGCATAAAGTCAAAGAAAAAAAATCGTTTCATAGATATGCTATTGACCTACTCAGGTAGCTCTTCAGTTCATTGAATTCGAACTTCAACTTTGTCACCTTATCTCTTCAATTTTTCCTCCCGGAATGAAATAATAAAGCAATTCCTTATGTGGAATGTGTTCTTTTTCAGAGTTTTCTTTTCTTGAAAAAGATTATCCTTATTGCCAAATGAAATAAATTTTTAGTTTTGGATTACATTAAGTTGCTTATTTTAACATGTTCTCTATTTTAACATGATTAAATTATTTATTTATTTGTAAAAGTTAAATCATAATTTTACAAGATTTACATGAATTTTGTTGATTTTCATCGATTCATACACCACATTGTATATTATGTCAAAAACCTTTTTATATTGGTTAAAAAATATTTTTTGTACTAATTCTAAAATTGGTATAAAAGTAGGGGTATAAAAAATATTTCAATTTTTACATGTTTTATAATATAAAAAATCACTTTTTATACTAGTTAAACAAACAATCGGTATAAAAAATAATTGAAATATAGTGAAATCTTTCTTCTCCAATCTTTCAATCCGCTTTCACGCATTGACATATTCACTTGGTTATTTGGTTCATCTTGTATCCATAATAAATTCAAACACTTGGTGTGCATCATTCAACCCTTTCCTCTTAAGTCACTCCTCCACCATTTCATTATGGAAGAACATCAAATTTGTGCCACCATCAATAACTCATCAACAACGTTCTCCAACACATTGACAAAATCATAATAAAAAGGACTCATATTTCCATCTAGAATGTGGTGTAGATTGAAGCATGAACTTAAGATAATTATTCCTCATACACACATAATTGGGCATTCAAAGTCAAGCGGCACAGACTCCCCTCGACGAACAAAGAGGTCTTCGACGATGTCCATGTCCTGCAAAACCCTTCCCACTCTTTTGGTGTTGATAATTTTGGTAGGAGGAGCGGTGACGATGGTGACAACAACGACCATGGCATAGAGTTTAAATCTGGATGTCGTTATAGTTGTGGGAGAAATACAAAAGGAGAGAGAAGTGGCCATGAAGGAGTGTAGTGGTGACCATTGTAGTTTTGTTGGTGGAGCTATGTTACAATGTTTGCGAATGGAGCTAAGTTCTATCATATGATGTCCTTTTTATTATAAAATGCACTTTTTATATTATAATTAGAATTGGTATAAAAAGTTTTCTTATTTATTATAAAAATGTCACTGTATTTACTTTCTATATAAGTTTTAATTATAACTGCTATAAAAAGTTTTCTTATTTATTACAAAAAATTTCACCGTATCTACTTTCTATACTAGATATAATTAGAATCTTTATAGCAAATTTTCTTCTTTATTACAAATATGTTACTGTGTCCACCTTCTATATTTATTATAATTACATTTAGTATAAAATGTTTTACAATATTTACAATTACAAAAAATATTTTTAACATTAGTGACATAAATCTATTAAAAATTTAACATGATCTAAACTCAATTTTCAAAATAATATATATATATATATGCTAATAGCACCTATCACAAACTATATTATAGTAAAAGACAAACCTCGTTACATATACTTTATAAAACGTCATGTAAGAAATCCTATTAATTTCTCATCACCTAATGTTTTCATTTACTTGATCTCCGTTATTAATGAAATTTTTATATGTCATTCATGTAATGATTTTATAACCTAAAACATATATTATAGTCGAACTAAATTATACTACCACCCAAGTAATTACCGTTCATATAATCAATCCCGATTTCAATTCATTCAATAAATAAAAACTAAATATTTTCCTAAAAATAAGAAAATTGTTGGAGAAGATGTTTTATGTCGTTCATAAAATACACGAACAAAATATTTTATAATTTAGTTTAGAATAAAACACAATATTTTATAACAGTTTGGAGATACAAAAAAGTATATTTAATCTATTAAAAACCGAGGAAAATAAATATATCTAATTAAAATCACTATAAAGATGACTATTTATTATAAAATTAAAGGGTATAATAAATATCATTTAATAATACCTCACAAATGGCTAATACAATTTCACTTTAACTATCAAAGTATTAAATAAAATTTATATCTTCATTAAATGATGTAGTAATTAATACCATCAATATCTTCTAAATTTCTTATTAAATTATGGAAGCGTTACAATATTGATAATTTACGAATGTATTAATCCACCACTTAATATTTACAGAAATGAAACCCATACTTAAAATTTACATGATTAAAATTGATACTTAAGAATATTTTACTAACAATATTTTCAGTATTTAAACTGAATTTAATTTTTTTCTATGTGATATTGTATTTAAGGAATTGTGTTTTTGTATACCATAAATAAATGTGGTAAATTAGTTAACAAGTTCGGCGGCTTTACTTTAATGTTTTGAATGAGGTTACACGTGAAAGTTAAAAGAAAAAGGATGAAAGTGGGTAAATTAGTAAGCAAGGAATTCACTAGAATTTTGTTAATTCTTCTTTATCATTTTATTCTCTATAAATCTATTTTATTTTTCTTATTAACGTGGAGGATCAAAATAATATACTCAACATTTATATATTTAATTATTTTAGGTTTGAGATTACAATCAAAACATTTTATGTCACACTTTTCTTCAAATTTCCTAAAGTTAGGTTTTCATAAGTCTATAATGTTTCTTTTTCAAGTCGTACAGAGGTATATAATAAAGGTAATTTGACACTCAAGTTAGTAATATAATTTTTTTAACATAGTAAAATCTTAAATTCGCAATAAATACAATCACCTACCCATTTGTTATATTGATTCTACATTCCATGAAACCTTGCATGTGAAAAACAAATGACTATAGCACATACTGAGTATGTTCTATTATCCATATCTATTCCTTTGCTACTTAGATTAACTTTGTTGGTACTCTCTTGATTACAACTCTTCATGCCAAGTGTTGAGAAAATGGGAGAACTTCGACTCTATACAAAATATAGAACACTTGAGATGCACTGCCACTGATATTATCCTATAGTCTTTTCTCTTCTACTTCAAATTTCACTTCCAGTTTCTTATCTCATCCACTACCTCTTATTCATTCAAGGATTGGATTTTGAGTGTCTTTAGGAATTTAATATTTTAATAAAGCATATTATAATTTACATTAATTATTTGCCATATAAATTCTTTGGTTGTGACCTAGTTACATTGTATGACTTTAAATGTAATGGTATCGTGTTTGACTTCTTAGATAACATAATTCCACTTTAGTGTGAGTTTTAATTGCTTAAATAAGTTAGGCTACCAATTTCAAGTAGTAAATTTTTGTGTCAATGGTATTATGGATAAAAAGAGTTAATGTATGATTTTTAATTTGAACAAATATGTTTTTAACCCATAACTTAGGCATTTAGGGGTCTCACAAGTCATAAATGACCCAATAATAAATCCTAAACACTCCATTTGACTTCAATCCATTGACTTGAAATCTCACCGCTCAAAACCTCTAAAATAGACCAAAAACAACTTGAACTCATTCACTTTGCAGATTTACCAACTCAACATCAGAGTTTTTGCCAACTAAAAGTCTAAACAAGTTTCAAATAATCAAATAAGATCTTTTAACCCACCAATTCTCACATTAGACCAACAGTTCTAAAATTCAGTTATCAAACCTTCATTTTTATCCAAAATGACCTATAACTCTACTAGCTTCTTCATTTTTAAAATTTTAACCAGAATTAACACCAATACAAGCATCCTAACAAATTCACAAGAGTTCCACAAGCCAACACAAAATTTATACAAAGCGCCAAACTACATACAATTAATTATTGTCCTTCAAACACAATTTTCAACCAAATAATCATCTTAATTTACAATTTACAAATCATATCACAATATCAATCATCACTCATATTTCATAAATTCAAGTTAAAAACAAACGCCAGTTTCCTTTACCTTTAATCTCGATTGTTTAACAGAAGACATCCAGAGTTTGAGTTAAGAAGCAGTTCCTCTTATTTTACGTGTAAGTTGAAGCATAATCATTAAAAGGGGAGGGCAGTTATATGTTACCTCGACGATGTTTTACCGCCTATTCACTTATTGGAAATAAATGATTACGCTGAGTCTGCAGATGCTTCCAAAAGCATTATATGCTACACTCACGTTTTTTTTTATAGTCTCAGCGTCATCTATAAATCAGAAGTTTGTGTTGCTGCTGTTACTTCTTCAATTCTGTAACTCAACATAACAGGGGCTTCAATAATGGCGCAAGAGCGTCGATTCGTCTCTCTCTGCGACCCTGCTCTCATCCTCCATCTCTCACTATCAATGCTTGGTTCCGCTTACACTGAAAGTGACGATGATGCTATCCAAGAAGATGATGATGATTTTGTCTTCGACATAGATCCTGCCGTGTTAGTGGATACTCGTAAACTTATAATTGATGAACAGATCGCAGAAGGGTTGCATTCAATTGTCTACAAAGGATGGTGGGTATTCCAATTGCAAAATCGAAGATATATATCAGTTTGTGCTTCTGTCTATGTTTTTTGTTTTGTTTTTGCACCTTGTTTGGTTGACTTTCTTGATCTGCATATTTTCTCTACCATGTGATTCAAGCGTTATGCGTTTCATAAATTTTTTCCTTGAAAAATGCTTTTCATTTATTGATCTGAGACACCTGTTTTTTTAGCTTTAATGCTACTGATTTTGACTTCCTACCTGGATCTCTCTGGGGCTAACTCTGATTTTATTTATGCTGTAAATAATGGAAAATTAGAAATATGCATTTCATTATTTCAAGGCATAAGTGATATTTGTATGTAAACATGTCAATATATAATTGTTTTAATTTTTCTCTAATATTTTTAGAAATCTTTTTATATACCTTTTCAATGATGATAAGTATATTTTGTCATAAATCTTAATTTAAAATTCATCAATTTCGAAATGAATAAATTGGGGTTTAACTTATAGTGAGTATGCATAACACACATAATACATATCTTTAAAAGTTGTTCTATTTTATGGTGAAATGTGATTAACAATTAAAGAGTTACCTCAATAGATTTTCCTGCACAGCATTATTTTTCCTTCCTACAAATATCATTACCTTTTTTTTTCTATTTTTATAATAAAATATTATTGAAAAATAAATGAATTTAATATTTTACAAATATAAATCATATTAAAAACTTACCATGTAAGGAAGTAGAAAACAAGAATAGAGCAGGGAAATGGATAATATCTAGCAAGTCAATTTGTTCTTTTGCGAAGTAAGCATGCAAGTTAGAGAGTTCACTTAAAAAAATCACTTTATTATTTCAAAAAATATATAAACTACAAGTCTTATGAATATCATCCTTGATAACTTCTTATAATTACCTTACACAATTGCATATGTCAAAACATTAATTTAAAACTTTATATTTAAATTTTTAATTATTTTAATATTTGTTAAAAAATAAAATAGACTTAACTTGTATTTTCAGATGAATAAACTATTTAAATCACTATCTCGTAATGAGTTAAACAAAATTAGTTTTTTTTTGGTTTACAAAAGAAGTGAATCGTTTGTGATAATTATTTTTTTAAAAAAAATAATCCACATGGTAAGGTAACTTGGATGAATTGTTCCCTTTGAAAATTATAGTTAATAGAAAGATGTTGAAAGAAATTTAGAATTAAAAGAATAATGTATATCTTTGTAAAAAAAGGTTGCAAGATCATAATTAATGACAGTTACATTTACTGTTGTATTAAGAAATTTAATGCTCATTATACAAGACACAAATAATTAATGTTTTTAAGTAAAATGTATTTAATGCTAAAATAATATAATTGCTTTGAAAATTGTTCCTTTTAATTATTCATTAAAATTATTCAATTATTTAGTTTAAGTCAATAGAATCCTGGGTGAGTCATACTTTGTTTTCCATTTTTGTAAAATCTTTTTTAAACAGGTTCTTTATTATTAACATTCCAAATTCTGGTAATATATTTTATTAACATATTCCAAATAGTTAAACATTCCAAATGCTATACCTCCCACATGATAGTATTTTGTGATATTATTTAAAACATATTTTTTATTATTAAATAAAATGAAATAAAAGAAACTCTGAATTTAGTAATTTTTAGTTTTTATTTAATGAGTTTTGTAATTTTCAATGTATTTAAAAATGTTAAAATAGCTTAGAAAAGATTGTTTTCATAGCACTCACCCCTCTCAAAACCAGTTCAATAAGAAAGAGTGAAGGAAAAATTGCTTCCTTCATGTGCGATGACTTGAAATTGAAGGGTGTACGCATCTGCAGAAGCATGACTAAACACCATGGCTACTGAAGATGTCAATAAGTTTCATCATCACTTGATGAAGGTGCGTGAAAGAGCAATGGATAATTATCAGTAACCATGCTTGCCAAGTAAGACAGAACCATCAATGAAAACCATATGATATAGGTTACTTAGTTCACCAAAATGACTGAGTGTCTTTTAACCGACCTATACTAAACACCAGTGCTTCTTAGGTTACTTTTATGGGAATTAAGCTTAAAACCAGATGCAATTCAAGACATCTAAACACATTCTTTATAAATACTATGTTTTGTATTTCCGTTGTGCATACAATATAATATCATTTATAAACTGCAATGTACTATGTTTTTTATTGTCTCTATTAATAACGCACTCTATCAGCACAAAGTCAATTATAAATATATAATTTGTTTTACTTTTTCATCACCAATATTTTTATTAAATTCTAATGCAGATTAGAATTCAGCAAGTTAGCACTAAATTTACATCTAATGTGTGGTGAGAATGAGATGAGATGGATACTTTCTATGATAATTGATTGTTACTTGGATTAAATCGTTTAAGCACATGTGATAGCACACTCATTAGAAGTTATAAAATTTACTTGATTGTTTATAATGTATTGATTGGCTTCATTTAAACTTCAATTAATCTATTCCTCAAAATCAAGAAAACTATGCAATGTTATATCCTTATATATATATATATATATATATATATATAAAATATTCAAAAGACAATATTCCTATAGCATAGTATTTTTTTTAATGTATGACATTTAGAATAGAATGAACTTTGGAAGAGTTATAGGAAAAGATATAGAGTTGTTAAGTTGTATTAAAAACAAGTTGTAGTAAGAACGGTTGAAGGATAAAGGCGAAGTCAAATTAATAACTCTCAGACATGTATGCACAAAAATCCTAAGTGTGACAAAGGAGGGTAAAAGGAAGCTTTTAGAAAGCTGTGTTTATTATGTTTGTTGCACATAGTCTTTATGCCATTGATTTTTGTGTTTGTTTAATACTGCAGAAACAAGTAACCCTTGTATTCTTTCTATTCTGTTGCAATAAAGTGACAAGTTGCAGAATTTTAAGTATTTTGGCCTTCTATATTCTTTTCCAATATTATTTTGTAGCTAAATCATTGTGACAATTCATATACCTAAAATTATTTAGGCCAGCAAAATATTAAGGCAAATTGTTATCTTGTTAACCAAATTGATTAGTTGTAATTAACGTGAAATCATATTTATTTTTTCAAATACCCTGTATTTTTAATTAGACTTTGTTGTTTGCTTGTGGTTTAGGTATGAACTGAATCCTGTATCTATAAAGGTTATGCTTCCAATGCAAACATCAAATGTTCCTTCTTCTTGTAAAGCAAAATTTCAGCGGGAGGTTAACTTGATATCCAAAATTAAACATAAAAATATAATAAAGGTACTTCTCAATTTCTTTTCTTACTTAAGTGCTTCATGATTTGTCTTCTTCTCTGCACTCTTTGTCCTAATTATTCTTCTAATGGTTATAAAACAAATTTAATTACCAAAGAATTGGGTAGTTGTTGGGAAATACATAATAGATAGAACACGTGATGTGGTTGCTTTTGTCTATTATGAAGAAATTCGTTGTTTTTAAAAGTGTTTTACATCAACCATGATTAGAAGAATTTTAATCCAATTTGAATTATGTATTACTAATTAAACTTAAAGACCACTTAGGAGTTACGAGAAATGATAAAAACACTTGTTAGAGGAGATTTACTCACTAGTGTTCACACGCCCATTTGCATTTGCTTTCTTCTCTTACACATTCATTTAGAATTATTATCTTAACATGCTCTTTATATAGGAATAAATTCAGATTCCATCTTAAATGAAAAATATGGATACTGACGGTCTTACATTTTTCACAAATATTCATTAATTATAATAGTGGATTCTCCATAAATTAAGAAACATGTACCTTTAAACTTTCCACTTAATTTTATTTATTTAAATATTTTTCAACATTTTTCTGTCAAGTTTTCATGTAAACCACATGAGAGAATTTTACCTATTTTTCAATTTTACTCTCACCATTGTGTGGATCCAATAAAATCTTAATTCATCCGTCACTGCATATATAAAAGAGACATCATATTTTACTCAAAATCTGTAATAGATTTATAGTTTTTCTTTTATATATAGTTCATTCACTATTTTTATTCTATATGAGAGTTCTAACTATACATTTAAATTCCTCACACATATATATTGTTCCATTATACTGCAGACCTTCATAACAATTTGCTTCTTAAGATTTACTGTGGTTAGTCTTAAAGGATGTTAGAATGATCGAACTCTAAAGACTTTTTTGGTTAACTGGATGATTGATTAGTGAGAAGTAATTTAGCTAACTATTACGAAATTTAAACTCATTTTGCAGTTTATTGGCGCTTCTGTGGAGCCAACAATGATGATAATTACAGAACTTTTGGAAGGTTGTTCGCTACATAAATACCTAGAGAGCATTTATCCAAATGCTCTTAGTTTAGAGCAATCCATAAGTTTTGCTTTGGATATTTCTCAAGCCATGGAGTATCTGCATGCAAATGGCATAATTCACCGCGATCTAAAACCTGGTAATTATGTTTAGTTATAATGATAAGTATCTATACAATGTGCTATTTGAATGACTTTTTACGTTTTGTTGTATATTTTGTCTTCTCTGAAATTTAGTACGTCTTTTAAATTAACTCTTTTTGTTAACTTATGGAATGTCTAATGTAGATACAGACCAATTAAAGGGATCCAATAAATATAAGTATTTTTATTTCTTTACCTTTACAATAACTAGTTCATTCACAGTAGTCAAGGAAACTCATTAACACTGATTGATTTTCATATACATTTATTTTTCTGAGCACAAGAGGTGCAGTCCTTTCAGTTACAAGTTATCCATGACTTATTTAGGTAATTTGGTTCTTCCCAAAGACAAAATGCAAATATTACTTACAAACTTTGAGACAGCTAGAGAGGAGATATCTGGTGAGATGACTTCTGAGGCTGGTACATATCGATACATGGCTCCTGAGGTACATGCTATGCTAGATTTTTCTCTGCATATAAGTATCTACCATCACTATATCTATATATGTTTATGTATCCATTTACTAGAATTTTCTTCGTGTGTTTTGATGTATAATCCTTACATTATCTGCATCAGTTATTCAGCAAGGATCCACTTTCTAAAGGAGCCAAGAAATGCTATGACCATAAAGTAGACGTCCATAGCTTTGCTATGGTTCTATGGGCAATAGTTAAAAACCAGATTCCATTTAAAGGAAGGAGTGACTTGCTGGCAGCATATGCTACTGCAAAAGTAAGTCATACCAGTTACTCTTAGTTCTGATTTTAGTAATAAGAGTGTCATTTTTCTTCCTTAAGTAGTCCTTTCTTTCCATTTTTAATATATTTTGCTTTAGAATAATGTTTGTTTTCATGATCTTGTGTTACCAAATTAGTCCTTCAACAATTAATGTAATTTTTTTGCTCTTTAAATCAAAACTATTATCCTTCTAAGGATTGGTTGTGGTATGTTTATGTTGTTATCGGTGGTTGCAGAAGATGAGGCCTAGTTTGGAGGGTTTTCCAGAAGTTCTACTTCCATTGCTGCAGTCTTGTTGGGCAGAAGACCCAAAGCTACGACCTGAATTCTCAGAGATCTCGCAAATCCTTGAAAACCTTCTCCATAACTATCACTCAACAGGTATATCAGCTGAGGAAAAAGCATGTCCAACTACAAGTGTGCAGGAACTTTTCCCCAATTATGTTGAAGACAACTCAGAACATGAACATGAACATGAGACTCAGAATCTGAATACCAGTGTCTGCTTGGAGGGACAATCTGAGGTCATAACACAAAACTCTAGTCCAGTCTTAGCCCAAACCAAGCACAAAAGGACTCTTAAGAAGTGCAAGGGTTTATGGTTATGCTTTCGAAAATGCTTTCACATTGGTTAAAAAAAAAACTACATTAAGCAAGATCATAGGTGAGTCATTTTTATATATAGTTGCATACATTTGGGGAAAGGCTTCCCAACTTTGCATACTCTACTTGCTGGTATGTGTAATTAAACCAAGTATTCCCTTGTGTGATGTTTAGTTTTGTCAGAATTGTATCGGCTTTAAAAAGAGGATTTTCACAATTACATATATTAAATTTGAATTGATTAATTTTAGATTATTTTATTTTTAAAACATTTTGTTTAAATATAACAATTCAAATTTATTAATTTTTAATTTTTTTTTGTTTAGATAAAGTGTTTAAATTACTAATAAGTTCAAAATTTTATTTAAATATAAAATATTTACTAAAAATTCAAAAACTATCATTATTATTTTTTATTGATGTAATTTGTCGGTCAAAGGTTATTGATAGTTTTTCATTTCATATTTGTAAAACTTTTTCTTATTTCACTTCAACTTCATTTATTTATGCTGATATCGATTAAGTTTACTTTTAGTGTCGACAGTTAGAAATTTTTTGTCGACCTTTTGTTATCAATATCGATTAACAAAATTCTCAAATAGAATTTGTAAAAAAAAGACAATCCTAATAAATGTTGGCTCAGTTTTTTTTTTCAGTTAAGAATGTATAAGAAATCCTAGCAAATTATTAACCATAAAAAATAGCATATTTGCTAATGATGAAAGATCATTGTAGACAGAAAAAACAAATCATGACAGATATCAATTGAGAAAATCTAATTCATATGTGCAACAAAAAATTGTCTCCCTAGCGCGAAAACTTGAAGTAATATTGAGTAGGTATTTATAACAACATAAATTCTAACAACTTAAATAAAATAATCACTCCTATGAAAGGGAACTTGGCTTGGAAGAGTATGTGTTTATATGTGTGTGGTGATTTTCAGAAATGAAAAGCCAGATGCGATATGTTTGCGGTATGGAAAAGAAAAAGAGAAAAGATGACTTTAGTTTGGAAAACAATACGCAGAATTAAAAATAGTTGTTAAAAAAACATTTTTCTTAAAACGTTGTAAAACAGTAGTAGTTAAGAAAAAAATTGTTTAGAAAACATTTTTCTTTCATTTATGAGTAGAGCAGTCAAACGAGTTCTTTAATAAGATTTGGTCCTAGCTCATGTAGGTTGGGGTCAAAAAAGTCCACATGATCAAAAAAACTCTTTATTAAAAAAGCCATAGGGCTAAAAACCCCTAAAACCCTATAGGTCAGGGTCAGTCTATGGGCTTTCCTTTTTACAAAATTTAACGTCCAGAAACATAATATCATCAAGTAATCACAAATCATGTGTACTTTTTATGCAGCTTTCATTTTATCTTTGTTAGTAATAACTTATAATCATAATTGATTCATGTGTAATTATATTTTTTTACCAATAAAATTAATTTTCTACTTCATAATTGTTTCTATATTAATTAGTTTAATAATAATGCTTTTATATAATTATTCCTTAATTTCCAAATTTTGTTTTGATAATTTTTTCATCTTAATTTTGGTTTCTTAATTTTGGTTTGTAAATTTGACAAAGATATCCACATAAAATAGGTTTAAAAGTTAAAAAATTTAATTTAATATGTAAAATTTTGATGGACTAACGAATTTATTTATAGATGGTAATCTATTTTGTCACTAGTTTAAATCAATATCATTCGATTAAGATTTGTGATCAAAATTACATTATTTTTAATTGGTGTGAACATGTTAAAATTTTGACTTAATAACTTTTTAACTTTTTTAATTTTCCAAATTTAATAAAATTAATATTTATTATTTATAAAGTTATATAATTCTTTTATATTTTTTTTCTGGTCATTTACATCAATTTATATATTTTATGTCTTTTTCATATATTTTACATTATATTCATTTGTCTTTTTTATTAGTTTCTTATTAAGAGACATTGATGTAATTTATTTATCATTATAATTATTATAATTTTTTTTTATTTTTATATGTTAATAATTAAATACAATAATAATTTTAATTTTAGTATTATAAATTATAACATTATATTTATTTAAAAATATTGTATCTATTATTTNAATTTTCCAAATTTAATAAAATTAATATTTATTATTTATAAAGTTATATAATTCTTTTATATTTTTTTTCTGGTCATTTACATCAATTTATATATTTTATGTCTTTTTCATATATTTTACATTATATTCATTTGTCTTTTTTATTAGTTTCTTATTAAGAGACATTGATGTAATTTATTTATCATTATAATTATTATAATTTTTTTTTATTTTTATATGTTAATAATTAAATACAATAATAATTTTAATTTTAGTATTATAAATTATAACATTATATTTATTTAAAAATATTGTATCTATTATTTAATTATTTTTTTATTACAATCGGTTCAATTATGATAAATAATTCAATAAAAACGATTTTTGTTGGATAAAGATAAGTCTGATTTTAAAATATTAATTTAATCTAAAAGGTTAGAAAAAAAATATGATTTTATAACCACTAGAATTACATCTAGATCTTGTATACTAACATATATGATATTTATAACAATTTTGCCTAACAAGGACTTTCACTAAAAAGTTAGTTCTTTTATTACGTGAAATTAATTTTAAACTTTATAAAGTATGTGGTTTAATTTTTTAATGTATATATATCTATACAAAACATTCAATAAAAGAATTTTATATGACAAACTATAAAAAATAAAAATTTTACACCGATATTAAACATTCATCCAATATGTAGATTTGAATTTAAAATCTATCCATAATTAATATTTCAAATATTTATATAGATATCATAATTCGATTATTGAAAAATCGAATTTTCAACTTTGTTACTTTTATAATTTCTTTTTTAAATTTTTTTTTCATTTTCTTTTAAATAAAAATAATAATAATAATTTTCTTTTTTAACTTTCCAAAATAATAAAATTATATATTTAAAATATACTTATAATTAAAAAATTATTTTAAATATTTTTTTATAAAACCAATATTTATACATTTATATTTAATTAAAAAGATATTAAATATCATGTAAATTTTTGGAAATTATTGAACTTGTAAAGTAAATAAAAGAAATAACTAAAAAAACATTAAAAGTGAATTAATTTAGTTTGGGGGCTAGCCCCATCCTAACCCTACCCCAGCCCACTTTATGTGGGGCTTTAGGGGTTGGGGCTTTAGGGGTTGGGGCTTTTAAAAAGCCCCCTATTAAATAGGCTAGAAAATTGGGACTTGATTTTAGAAGGGATGAGGGTCAATCCATGGGTCATGGCATGGACTCAAATGACACCTCTATTTATAAGGAGAAAGAAGTGAAACAGATGTTATCATAAGCAAAAACTAAAAGTCTAGGTATATTAATTGTTATTATTTCATTCATTTTATTTCTTTTATTATTTCGAATGATTTATATTTTAATGTAAAATTAACTTTTATCATAGGAAAAGTATTTTCATTTTTTATATAAAACAGCACTTTAAATTATATTATCATTTATATTTGTTCGTTCGCTTTTAGTTTCTTTAAACATGTCTACAAGGTAAAATTGAAAATCATAAAATAAAAAGCACTTTAAGTATTTTTATTATGATTAAGAAAATCAATGAAAGTTATTTATTTATCTAAAAAATATTTATGCTAGTAAACTTATAAATAACTTCTTATAATTACTTATGTATTTACTTAGCTCAATAGATGTATTAAATAATGTAGTCCAACCATGTCTTATATGTCTTATCATTTTACAACCATCTAAAATACATCTATTGAAAGAAATATTCACATATTAACGGTGACTAATATCACCAATTTGATATTATTATTGTTATTTACTATAAAATGTCATGTTATTATTTTAATTATTATTCGTTTGAGATAACTTATTATAGTAATATTATTTGATACCACAGTACCAGATTTATAACATGGACTTAAGGCCCAAAAAAATTCTATAAATATATCTAGTATTTTTCAAGAAATACACACTCACATTCATACTTATTTTCTTTTACTCATAAATATTCAAACTTTCTTACTGATTTAATTGTTAGAGAGTCTTTTGTATTTGAATCTCTCATTTGCTTCCACCCTCAAGGAATAGACATAAGATTCCTTAGTCCACTCATATCCTACCACCTATTGTTAGGACTACACTCAAATCCCAATGAGAACAATTTATTTATAAAAATGAATATTTTAATAAATGTGAAAATATTTTTTATGACTTCTTTGATGGATATATGTAATTATTATTTTTAATTAATTCTAAATATTTAAATGACTTGATTAACATAATGATTATGTTTATATAATAACATCGTACTCTTATGACCATCATACTCTTATGACTCTTGAATGATTTAAAAAAGAGCCACCCTTATTTTTGCATTAATTATTTTTATAGATTTTTGTTCTTCTTATGTAGGCACAATGTTATTGTATGAGCACCAAATTTAATAAAACACATTGTTATACATGACTTTGTCATTCTTCAATTTCCAAAACATTATGTATAGTGTGAATTTGCTAGCCTGAGCAATTAGTATGTGGTGCCGAACTTATCAACACCATCTTTATGTCGATTGATAAATGTCACAAGTTAGCACTCGAGCTTTAAAAAGCATTAACATAGATTAGCTGACTAATCATGTATAAGTATGATTGAGCTGTAACACCCCAGTTCAGGAAATATCCTTCTAGAAAGAAGATCTAGTATGGAGAATGTTGGGCAACACCTACAAAACTATAGGCAAGCTCGCCCCAATTAAGAGGGACCCTAAGTTCTTTCTTACCTAATCTCTATTCCAAGTCCTTTACTCCCAACCCACGTTCTTCCTTAGTTCTTCATATACCCTCCCATCTAACCCATGCAATCTTCCTACCTTCGTGACCCTATCCCATTGGAACTTCCTATGTAATTTCCTAATAATTTTCCACATACAAACATGCATTTTGGAGATAGATAAGTAATACAAGGGAATGGTA